TAGCGACACTGCAGTGATTTATGGTCTAACATTAGCCCCCAATGACGGATAGAGCGTAAGGCCGTGAGTGAGATCCTCCAACGTTCGGACTCCCTTAATCTTCACTTTGTTCTCCGAAAATTTCAGGGTACTAGACAGAAGATTAAGACAAAGTGCGTTTTAATTAGAAAACAAGGTATCCGTAATATTAGATTTATCGTTTTTGTTTCCTTAATATAATTTTCTACCCTTTCGTCTGTCAAAATAGATACTTCTCTTCCTGGCTTCATCTGGGCCAAATTAATCCGTTTGTTCCATTCCATTTGGTGTACCCATGTTAGAGCGGCCATTAAGGTTTATTATTTTGTCAAACGCGCTCTTTTTGTGTTCGCGCGTGTGTGTGATACGGCGCGATTTGATCTTGTCCACGTTTGTACTGGAACGTACAATCACGCACGATTTCCATACTTGAAGCCGTCGAAAATATACACTTAGCAAAATACAAGTCGAGTCCATTAAATACTTAGGTGACGATTTCCGATCTCCAATAATTCCTCGCTTTTAAAAAACGAATTATCGTAAACATACCTGCATAATATCCATTACAGATATTTAAAAAAGTTTAATTGTTCAAGTGTTAGAATGATTTATTAGTTGTTTCAAAAAGCAGAGAAAATTACACAGCGTTCGTTTTGCGTTTAACAGTTTGAGATATTGTAAATGCTAACGCTCGAAGTGTTGAATTTCACGGGTCTGAATAATGCAACGGCTTCTGTGTCTTTAAACAAAGGTTGGCCTTCGTTGTTAAAAGTACATATCTGCGTATTTTAAATCCTAACATTTTATTTTTTAATATCACATATTCTTATCTTTTAGTATTTTATGTTTAGGGAAGTCGTTCGAATTTCTCAGTACTCGTAAATATTGGTATGATCCGTTAATAACTTTATTAATTAATGTACATACCTATGCGGATATATTAATTCAAAAGGTTCCTTTAAAAATAACACCTCACGGGCAGCTTTTGAAATTCGTTTTGACATTATGTGCAGTCTTCCATCTTGCTAACACTAAGTTACGTCAACCCTTTTCAATAATCTTTGTAAATAAACTAGCTTTAATGCATATTCATAGAAGCAGCCCAAGTAAACTGATGTATGAATATTCATTAACCTGAATCCGAAACCAAATATCGATAGTCGTCTTTACAAGTGTACAATATAAAATTATCGATTTCTTTGAAATGTATTGTTTATTTTCTTTCACTCGTGAAATATTGTTTATGTTACAGGTAATGTTACCTCTTAAGCCACAAACAAACACTTTATTTAAGCAGGATTCGAGCTATCAGTTTTAAGTTTCTGTGGACACAATAGCAGATGTTGCCATTGCTCCCAGCGATGCCTACCCTCCTTCCGAACCCCTGACGCTTGCTCTCCCCTTTGCCCCGCCCCCCTGCCTGCGTCTTCGGCCTTCTGGACACTGTCCACTCTGCAGTGACCAAGGCGTGGCCATCCATCACCGATTCGTTTCGCTCCGTGTCAGCAGTCAAGAGGCCATCTTTGTTTAAGATTTCAATGACAGATTATAATTTGATACACCGCCTGGGACTAGACTGTCGACACATATGTCTATTTAAAGTCAGTCCATCTGGAATAAAGTTAATGTCAGTGGGATATGTGTTTTCAAAACTATTCAAGATGAATAGTATGTATTTATAGTTTGTGAAACGTAAAACTGTTTTCGTTAAGAACACCCATATTTGAAAATCAGCGAATTGGAGTGGATTCGATAAATAATGGTTTTACTGAATTAGCAGTGTCTTGTATTTGTCAAGATATTAACGTTGAAGAAATTGTAAAAGGGTGAAGGGAAAGGAAATATATGTCTATTATCATTAAACTGTTTAATGCATGGTAATAATGAATATGGAGGAAACGGGTTTGCATTAAAGACGAGTGATGCTTTTTAATACATGCATGTTGTTGTTTCTTTCGAAAATCATATTTTGGGTGTGAAATAACTACATGTCTTTGTTATATTGTCAATAGCCATTATGTATTCACGAGATGATAAAATACTTGTATCAACTGATAATGACAGTTATCTGGTATGTGCCCAACATAGATAGTATTGACAACAACATTGTGTACATCCACCGAACCAAATAATACTGTGCTCATTCAAAATATTTTAAAAATCAATAATTATATTACGTTATATAGTTTGTGGGTCATTAAAGAAAAATATATCATTCAGATATAAGCATATTTTTCATCTGTATAATAATGACAGTTTCATTACGCGTGGATTAATCCTGTAGTATTTTGCATATCTACATCCCTGTGCGGTTCTCAACTATGTGTATGATTACTTATTAAATATACCGTATTTATGTAATGTGAAACGAAAGCGAATCAAAACTCAGCCCAATGGATTAATTCAACTATTGCTAAGTTGTAACACTGTAATAATGTTAAAGTGATATTCATGTGCGCTGATGCTTATGTCACGTATAAAGCGTTACAGAATTTATGTCACCTACAACTGAAATGTACACGTGTTGATTTCATGAAAAGGCAAGCGCTTACATTAACAGATATAAATCAGTGTATCTTCCTGGAATAAGGAAAACACAAGCTGTTCTTTCCCTTACTATGAATGTAGATGTTTCCCTTTCCTATATCGACAAACAATAGGACAACTTTGTCACCAACTGTTTTATTGCCTATGGCTATATGGAGAGACAGTTTATCGGATTAATATGCCATACTTTAATCCAAAATGACAAAGACTACTTTGTCTGAACACGTTCAAAGAAAACACTCAACGTTTCCCCAGGCACATGTTTTTCGTATCAAGTCGGTAGGGATGGTGTTTTTTATACTCAAAGTTTCATGTTTCGGAAATGATTTTTTCGTGAACGTATGTATTTTGCATTAAGGCCCTGGATAGAACAGGTTCGCGGAAGAAAAGGTTTAGTGGTTTTCAAGAAGGCAAAAACTGCCTCAAATTACAGGCAAATGAAGTTATTTTACAAAATATTGTGTTAGTAGGGGCTGAGTGAATAAACCGCTGTCCCTTTGTTAGAACGTATTTGCCAGCATTTTGGTAGACATAAAATAGTATTTATTACTCCTAGCTTGAACAAAGTGACAGAAACATCGTTCCTTGTGTGTATTTTACAAGTTTAGAACAACAATACTCGTGTTTATGTTTATTGCTTACGGGAGATAAACGTCCCTGTGGATATAAAAACCAAGTAAATAAAATTCAGCAATAAATTCAAAGTATGAAGCGTTCTTTAGTTCAGTGAATTTACTTATTAACGACTGATGTGTCAGGTTTTACAAGTCTAACAAGCTTACGTGATGATGTATTTATGTATTTATAAATAATGTTTGTACCATGCATAAATCAATATTATTTAAAGTGATTGTTTTGTTAACCGAATTAGCGTTCAATAGCTGTCAGTTGTAAACGAATTTACATTCATGATTTTGTAAATCAGTACCTACAGTTTCTTACATGAAATATTTATGAAACTTAAGATCAAGAACAAACTGCATGCAATGAAAGATTCCACTGTCATTTGTAGTTGTTTATGAAAATATTTTTGTCTGTTTATGAAAATAAAATAGTACGTCATAAAACTAGGAAGGTTATTAAACGTCACCTGTCCAAAACATGTTTTTATAATATTTGAAGTGTTCTGTGAAAATAAATTGAACGTGATTCCAATCAGAGGACGTAATTCGGGAGGTTTTAGTGACATTTGCAAATTTCACCAGTTTCATATAGAGCAAAGAGCGCATATTCCCAGCTATCGTATTTCTTCCAACGTTGACAAAACACGATCATAATTGCCGATCAAAATTCGGCGCATGTTAAATACAATCGGTGATTTGCAGCGGCGACGTGGCTTTTAACATGAAAGCAATTTTAATCAAGTTTTAAATTGTGTAATTAAACAGATATGGCAAAAATTCAAATTTTATCGCCCGTAAGCTAAGTTTTATGCGGAACTTCCGAAACACTGAAAGTCACTCAAAAATTATAATTTTCTCAATCCTTCTTTTGTTTGCATATTTTTCAAATTCATAAGGATGTCTGCTTCGCGAGTTGACACTGCAGCCTTAGGCTGTCGAAACATTCAACATGCATTGTATAATACAGGCAGATGCAAAGATGGCGAGAAGCAATGACGTTAGACTATTGTGCATATGATAATTTAAATGTACCACACAACAATTGGAACGAAATATTTCGGCTGCAAACTTAATGTCTCAATCACATAATTATCAATTCTCTCTTCTATTGCCATAACAGTCATCATACACAATACAGTGAAATAATAATAATGGGTTTTTCATATGATTTTCAATGGTACATTATATTATTAACCTAATGAAGTTGGTTCTGCTGAAATTTTTATCAGATTTGTTTTGAGTTTTCTTAAGTTTGGTATATAATTTTGAAAGAAATATATAATTTTGCCTATGAAAACACTGATGTCTATTTCAATGGCCCGGTATGGAGAGGGTAGATCCAGGCAGCCTTCCCTGTGTGACTGGAAAGGCGGTTTTATGAGCTCGGCATAAGCAGTGTTATGTCAATACCCTCGTTTTAATTGACAATCTTACCTCACGCACTTTAGCACTTGTCCAGTTAAAGAATGCGTAGTTTGGACACACTGAATGAACAACACACAATGACCACTGTACTGGTCAAGTTGCCTTTTTCTGCCACAATAGACTTGTAATGCTCACCCCCACTGAGCTCAAATGTGTCGCAAAATCACACAATTCACTTTTAAAACTCTTTTCAAAATCCTAACCAGAAGCTTACGCAAAGACTGACTGGGAATTTGTCCTACGTTTCTTGAGGGTAAGGTATTTAAAGGCAAGTTTTGTCAGGCTGGGCAATTTCGCTGATTTATATGGTCTTAGAATAATTGATGTCGATTTCATAGCACTGAAATGTCTCTCTCCACGTGTTCCTTTGCAGATCACTGTAAACAGAGCGAGAGGCGAGCCGGCGCTGATTGGTCGACGCGGAGTCACGTGACAGTGTTGAGTCGTAACATGCAGTGATAAGTTGGGGCTTTACTATGTCTGCCGGCTCTCAGAATGAAATAAAGTTTGGAATTCGAAAGATGCAGAAGGGTTATTGTGAGCAAATGCCGACTTATCAAGGTTTCTACCCGTCCGAAAGCGGATATAAGTATGACAATTCTTTCAACTACAACTCATGCGGACCTGACTCCGCAAGTTTCTACGGCTCTACCAGTTGTGCAGTACAGAACCATGCCTCTCAGAATAACGGGGAAGCATGCATGCAAGATTATGGCGATTCACAGTATAATAATTCCTGTATGCAAAACCCGTCCCTCCAGTGTGGACCTGGGGTGAACAATCTGCACGCGAACTCGTCAGTCAAACAGGAGATATATCCATGGATGAAAGAGTCAAGACAGAACTCCAAACAGCGACAAAGCGTAGCAGGTAAGTTCTAAACTGTGTGATGTATTAGGCCCGTGTCCTGTGCTGGCAATAAACGCGCGACTAGAACTATCTAATGGCAGTCGGCGATCGCCAGTGCTATTAGATGAATGACGCAGAGACTGACAAGATGATGCGTCACCCGCGCAAGAAGGTTTAAACACTTAGAGTGTTTTTTTACAGTGTAAATGATTAATGAGATTTAGATTGTGCCGCTTGCATTTGTTTTGGTTTCGACTGGCTAAATGTCGGACAGAATGACGAACGATGTGCTAAAAATCTAAACTGGGAAATTCCCTATTTTGGATAATTTCCTCTAGTTAAATGAATAGCATTGCATCACAATATAGGCCATACTGAATGTGTACTTGGTAATGTCAATCAAATGTCTTGTCAATTTCGGGACGTTTCGAGCGTGGGTCTTTCATAAGAGCTTTGAATGTTGTTGTTTCGTGTTTTTTATGTATATTTTAAACTGTTATTGATTTCTCATCTTGTGTTGCTGGTGTAATTTAAAGAAGGCTGCAGAATTTACCAGTTAACATCATAATCAACACGTGGCTTATCGGTGTACACCATAGCCTCTTTTGTTAAAGACATATCGTTACATGGCGATTCAAATATCTATTTAAACTCATGATAGATCATTCCCATTGTCATTATTTTAAATATATGCCTAAGTGTGTGAGTGTAAATTCATCAATCCTACAAATGAATTAAAAATCGTAGGAATATATAAACGTGCGATTGTAAACACATCAATCCTACAAATAAATTTAAAATCGTAGTAATTTATAAGCATGCAGCTTCTATGATAACATTTTTACAAAACTTAACAAAATATGATAACATGTTTTACTATGGTTTACCCTTACACGTGGAGGTTTTTAAACACATTAAACAGTATTTCTATGATCTAAGTTTGCACAAGTATTACATATGTTATCATTATATTTATATTTTGTTCAAATGTATCTCACCTTAATATAACAAAATCATATGTACAACCACTGAAGCAGAATAATAATCGTTTATAATGTGATACCCTAAGATCCTATAAATCACCCTTTATCTCATATTTATGTATGTATGGCTCTTTTATCGAAGCAAATTTGCTCCGGCAAATTTACCTTAAAACCATACTGATCGCCGTCACATAAGACTTTGCGGATTGGTCTGAGATTTATGTTCCGTCCTAATTTAGAGATCGTAAATGGTTGTCTCTTAAACGATAGTGAGACCCATTTTCCCTCTAAATGCCTTAAAACTCCCTGCTATCTCGGCTCTTGGGGGGATTTTCTCCCCATAACATTTAACTCACTCGAATGCAGTCGAGCAGATAAACCCGAGCGCTGGTCACATAAATTTTTCATCGCGTGAATATAAAAATGTCAAAGATGCAATTAGAAGCGTAATTCCTCGTCTAAGTGATCGCTCCATTTGGGTAGTGTATATTTCTAAGGGAATAGTTATACGGTTCATCATTGACAATTACCTGGCTTTAATTCAAAATACATGTCAAAATAAATCTTTTGGCTAGATTTCATTTGTGTTGTCATTGGTATGGTGTTACTGGGGTGGTGAAGAGATATGACATTTTGTGGAAATTTGAGTAAAGGAAATATTTCATTCAGGTAGCGCAGCATGTGTATATTGTATGATATTGAGTTTACTTTAATATTCATGTTTATATCATAACACGGGCTATATATCAGATTGTCCTATTATTATATCGGATTTTTTGTGTAGTTTCTCTTTGAATGGTTTTGTAATATAATATTACAATAATTTATATTGCCAGATTGTCGTGAAAGGGTTGACTCATTACATAAGCTCAGCATAAAAAGGTACTCTAGGTAGTTAAGTTTTATATGTTTAGGTGGTGTGATATGTATAACGGTGTTATGTATAACAATACATTTCCATCAAATTCACAGAATGGTATACCGTTTCAGTTAATCGGGCTGTTTTTTGTTTCCACTGAGAAACTGTTGAGAGCATGTTCCTAGCAATTTAAGATCCCTGCACGCTTGCTTTTCTTTCCAGCAATATCTTATTTGTGTAATGAATGACAGTTGTGTCAATATGCATGCTGGTAGACAAAAACTGTCAATAATAGAACCAGATGTCAATTTCGTGTCAATATCACTTTCTCTCACCACGTCTTGAGTATACAAACCAAGAACGAGCTACAAAACATATGTGGCTACATGTAGATTGCATGCAATGCGTTAACATAAAGCATTATCCTTCGCTGGAGAATACATCTTGAATGGGCAATGTCTGATTTTCAAGTATTACACAAAGGCCATTGATAAACATTTATTCAAACACGCTGTAAGTAAAAAAAACCATGTTTTGAAACAGAATACGTTCGAAGCCAGAATGAAAATGCAAATGTTGCTTCGCTGTTGTTATTTATTAGGTCTAAGCTGAAGCTGAAAGGCTGTATTATATTTGTGTCTCGTACAAAACAATTTACCAAACTGCAAATTCGTTACATCCTACCCCGATATATCACAAGGATTGAAACCTTTATATACGGAAAAGGAGTGGCCGTTTTTATAGGAGTGTATTGCACATGAATATTGAAATATTGTAAATTAAATTTAAACATCTCTTTATTTTTCAAAACATCCACCAAAGATGTACCTCAATGATGCATGACAATATTGTGTATTCGATATTATCTTGCTCGCATCACTCGCTACTAAACGCAGATAGCCCATCCTGCAACATTCTTGCTTTTGAGAGGCGGTATTTGGGAAACATTTTCGCTTGTACTGACAGGACTTATAAATAACCTCTTGGGTCTGGGCAAGACTGATAGGACAGGACTTGTAACTCTGCAAACACGCTGTTTCAATTAAAGAACCCGCTTCGTCAAAAACAGCCTTAAAAAACGGCAGATTCAGATAAACGTGTTGCACTTCTTGTTATGTGATTCTTCGAGATAAAATAGTTCTTGTCTCCAATCCCGCTGTCAGTGAGTCGGCGGAGCGATCTACGAGCCGATAGTGCCTATACTGTCAGATAAGATTCTCTGAAGGTCCCTTGACAACCAGTATTAGATTTGGGAACTTTCTACTTTGCTAGACTAGGTATAGTCTTGGTACTGTACATGCCAGGAATATTATCTGATAACCCAGGCCCAGACGAGGGAGGAACGTGCCACTGAAAACACTGGTAGCTTTTTCCATGTATGGAGGAACGACAAAAACATAAGTTAATCTTTTAACACAGGACATCTATATGATATTTGAGAAATGAAAAAATAATACATCTGAAACAGTGGTATAGTGCGTCATGAATAGGAATACAAAATAATCATAACAACTGAAAAAATATCTATAAGCTGAAATAGGTATGAAATATGGTATATATGTTTTATCAATAAGTGAAATTGATTTTTGGATGTTGTATAAATCCTAAAATAATCTCTGCTATATTGTCTCGATAATATAATGTAATGTGTAAGATCTTTAGCACGTGTTTTCATGACACTGCTAAATATTGAAATATTATTTTTAACGACTGTGTGTTTACATTGTGTCCTGTTTACATGATATAATAATCTGCAAACACCCAACAAGAGTAGGTCATGTATCTACAAACAACAAACACTTTCAATGTTCACACACAATCTCTAACATAACAATAAAAACTGTAATTGAAATAAACATTTAAGCACTAGTATTTCGCTGTATGTCGGTCGTTAGTTATCCACGTAAGGGGCTAATATAATATCAATCCGGCCAAAGATTCTTTATAGCGAAGCCTGTTCACTTTTATCCGTGTCAGTAGTTCCAAATACAATACTTTGGAATGAATATTAATGAACCTTATATAAGGGTAAATTCATCAGACTCCGACTGGAGCAGAGAGAAGTATTCTTCTGGTTTTGATGTACTGAGAGCAATCTAACCACAAAGTACACGAGACATCCCACATGACAAAATATCAAAGTCTGTTGTAGTAGTGAATAATGCATTACTTTCCACGAAAAAAGAGGAAAATTCGTTATTATTCAAAGCCGCCATATTTTCCATCTCACCTCGGGTTATCCAGACGAAAACAATCTATAGGAGAGTTTGATTATGCAAATATATGACTGTCGCAGATATGAAATGGGCGCCCGCCATGTGGTGAAATCCATACTAATCTATACCTGTCATTGTTTAGTAAACTATTGAATCACAGATCAATCAATGGAGGCTGGCAGATTTCAGCAATAAATTCGCGAAAAGGATGTTTCTTCTTTCTCCTTGATGCGTTCTGTGTAGGAGACAGGTAGCCTACTGTGATTTTATGTACTTTAATAATAAATACATCATTGACAATGCAGCCCAGATGGAGAGTAACACGACTTGACAATTGTCAATAGACAATGCCAGTTTCAATATTGACCATATCTCAAAATGACCCTGAAATTAATAAAATATCATGTATGTTGTCAGTTGGAAAATGTTGCATATATCACAATAGGTAAAACGCTCGGAGCTGTATGTTGGAGTAAAATAATCAATTCAACTCTACTGAGATCGAGATCTTGGTCGTGGGTAACGTTATTCGCAGGTGGTAAGATTTAAATAGTGAGTTAAACGTTACTATCGGAAATATTTCAGCTATAGCGTGCCATAAGATTTAAATAACCCTTCAAGGTATATATCAAACCTTTGGTGACTGAATACAATCAAAACAACTACCAATATTTGGTGTAAACTACTAAGAAAGCAACAACAACAACAACGACGGCGATGATGATGATGACGACATAAGGACCCTGATGAACCTAACAAGCCTGACAACGGAGCTATTTATTATTATTATTATTGCTATTTATTTTAATCAGTATAATATAATAATACAGCTATATGTAAAAGAAGATTGACCAATGCATGTGTATATAAATCAAAGGCGATCGTTCTCAAATTTGTCGCAGAACCGAATTCACCTGTACTAGTTTTTTATCCCCTATCTGACCTAAACGAGCTGACTGCACAAAAACGATTCATCTGTTACTCAAGTCAATGCTCCCCGTACCCTCCCCTGTCTGGGGCGAACGTGCTACCGGGAGCTATGCTTCACTGGAGATACAGAAAGACCACGCAGCTAAATAGGTTAAGGTGTTCATTTCACTCAACAGCTGGCCAAGAATGAAATATACATACACTGACCTTAATCTATTTCACTATTGTACTGGCCACAGTATTAGTAATCGTTCATGAGTAAAGGTTGACATCTTGTTTTGACATCGTGTTCCTTATTGATGTACGTTGTCAATATACAACCGATTAACCAAAGAATGAAATCTACATGCGATAGCTACACTCTGTAGACGATAGATATATGGAGCAAAGAAACAGATTGGTGTGATAGACAAGCAATGTCAAGTTGGTTTCAGTCTCTGCGGGTGGAAATAATACATATCTTTATCACAGACACGCACATGAAACGGTAACACCAGAGCCCTGTCACTGTAAAGAAAGTGTATCTTGTTAAGATTTAAATAACAATTGTTAACTTAAGAATAGGGTGATTGTTGATGGTATAGAGATTAAGGTCTATTCTAGTTGTGTTTCAAACCTCAGTCATGTTACTCAAAATAGGAAAAATGGACAACCGCTTCAGGTTGATTTAGAGACGCTTCGATGTAGGTTTTTTACGAGTTGTAAGGCTGGATGAATAATCGTTACGATAAAACAAACAAGAGTAATGAACTATGCTTGCAGGTCAACGTTTTGTTTAAAGGTGAATTTATACAGTATGAGTTCATTCAACATGTATATAAGTTGGCATTTTTAAAATATGATAGTGTTGTACCTTTAGCAGTACACAGTCTTCAACATCAACGATGCTGTCGAGCATCCCCGATGTGGCACTATGTTGCGGTCATTTTGTCCAGTGCCATTTCTGATGTAAATGCGAAACGAAAGAACAATAGCGATTACCAAGATAGGGTTATCTGCTTTAGACGAATGTCTGTTCATGTGAAATTCATTGGCGAACCTCTTGTCCTTTCAGAGCCCACGAAGCGAGCCCGAACAGCCTATACCAGCGCTCAACTTGTCGAATTGGAAAAAGAGTTTCACTTCAATCGGTATCTCTGTCGGCCACGTAGGATAGAAATGGCGGCGCTACTAAACCTGACAGAGAGACAGATAAAGATATGGTTCCAGAACCGACGCATGAAGTACAAGAAAGAATCCAGGGGGAAAGGGTCGGACAAAATGGCTTCCAAATCCGAAGGGAGTTTTTCAGGGAGTGATTCGGAGAACCATGACTTGTCTGGGGACGGTATGAAACCCCCGACACCCACCGGGTCCCATCGTCTCATCCCCACCCCCGATCATCAACCCCCGTGTGACCAAACCCTCGGTCTGCACCCTCAGCAGAGACCGGGTAGTCAAGGCAGCATGGCTAACGCTCCTCAGGTTAGCCCCATATCCCAGAGAGACAGCCCCTCTTTAAGTATGAAACATTCAGGGGGGCAGCCAAATCTCAGCCCTTACCCACAGAACAGTCAAGTGCCGTACCCCCCGAACGGACAGTACATGCAGCATTCTATGCCCCCAACGAACAGGGGTTACCATGGTAACGGGATGATGATGACGGGTGGTATGTACCCAGATATACAACACATGGACAATGCTAACCAGGGACACTGTATGACGTCATCGCTTCCCATGATGACGTCACAGATGAGTTGCTCAATAGCTTCAAATGGGTACAATCAGGGGTCATATGATTATATCCCCAAACTGACTCACTTGTAGACGGAAATTTAATTTATTGCCATCTATTTTTGAATGACTGAAAAAACTTGTTTTACGTGTGTATGTTGCATGCTATAGATAATAGAGATTAGTGAAATCCACAGATATTGACAAGGAAGATCGTGAAATATATTCGTTTTGAAAAACCTATCCCGTGGCCAAATTCAGACTATTATTTATCCAGAGGTAACATGAATATATGCATTATATATATATCTTTGTTGATCGTAGTCACTAGTGTAGATACAGTACTTACGTCAGTAGTGTGATTGTTCTGAAATGGACATGACAGTTCCATGACAATGTGTTGTAGATTTCATGCCAAAATACTCAGTCACGTTTCTGCTCAACGATGACAGCAGTCTGTAAATCCAGGGTTGAGTGAGTGAGTGAGTCCGGTTTAACGCCGCTTTCAGCAGTATTTCGGTTATACCACGGCGTCTCTGTTAACGTGAGAGGAAATCCCAAAATTATATAGGTCTTGCACGTTTACCATTTTGGTGGAACCCAATCATTGCATGATGCTGAATAACCCAGAAAAAACAATCAAGGCAAAATCGAATACCTGCCCTGATCATTGGGTTCTGGCACGTCCAAGGGACGCAACTCACAGAGAATTGCTGCTGGTTTTTTGTTGGGCTACAAAACCAATGTAAGAAATGATATCCATGTTAAGTGGATATCATAGTACATTCATGAAACATATCACTAAATAAGAGTAACACAATCTTTCCGATAAGCCACGTTTCGACACAATTAATGTTCAAATAGTAAACATTGATGCCATGTTCTGTAACAGTTTTAACAACAAAGAAACCGTTTGATCATATAACACAAACCCAAAACGGGGTTACATTCATTTTCCGATATATTCATGAAATGCAAATTTATTCCAAAGAATTGTCAAGATGATACTGGAATGTATTTTATGAATATCTAAGAGAAATGTTTATGAAAATTTATGAATGTTGAGACAGTCTAAACGCGTTTGGGCTTTCAAAAGCTCAACCGAGGTGACAAGACTTTGATGGTCAATGTATTGTCATTTCTTTTGTTAACATCACAATTGAAACTTGGTTCCTCAGTTTTTGTGTGGTTGTCAAATCTAGGTATGTAGGTAAGGTTAACGCTGCCGGCTCATTTACACCTGTGCGAACTGACCCACTTAGATGCGCCCATGCGTGATGCTTATCGTTCACTTTGATCTGCTGGGAAAATTGCAGTACAATGAAATCGAGGTCTAATCCTGTAATATCACTCTTATAAACGAATTAGCTCTGTGACCTTTTGTCGTCTATTTGATTGTTTTGAACGTAGTAAGACCGGTAGGATGATAAGGGCTTTTGAGCACCTGACTAATCCACGCACCCACTCGGCCATATCTTTATTGAAAGCACGCGCGACATTTGGGACCGTTGTTGGACGAGAACAGACAATTGGGTGAAATTGGTCGGGGAATTTCGAACTCAGGAGTCCATTCATCGATGACGTAATCAAACGCCACCCAACATATTGGACAAACAGTCGGGTGGACTGAACATGCGCGTTACAGCTGCCTTCTGTCCTCGGGACAATGAAAAGTCAAACTTTGATCACCCGGGCGAAAGAAAAAACGAAACGGGATTCAATTAAAGGTATACCCCGTTATAGAATTTTTCAAAGGTTGGATCCTTTTGTTGAAATCCGTGATCCTTTCCTCTTAATTTGACAATTATTGAAACTCGAAATTCGACACACCCTTCCTGTGATCTTGATCGTTTACCTATTAAGTCTAACGGGTTCCTTTAATGAATAGAGGGTACATTGTGATCGTTCTTGGCAGGGGGTCAAACAAGTGCTTAGTTACGTAATGAATGTGATCTAAATGAACCAGGAAAAATTGACTTGGTAAGGTCAGGCAGGTTTATTCACAGGGCGAACCCTGTTGCACCATAGGAATAGAAACCCACCAGGGGAATATGTCACATATGGCCCAACTTGTGTCATGTGTTGCAATCGTGACAATTACTACATTTATCATGGATAATTTGAAATCCATTAACGTTTATCCTCATGACATACATGTCAATGTTCATGACACTGTTTCAAGACAGAATATTTCTATTCGGGCTCGTGGCAAATTGTATTTTGATACACACATTTTCTTTTAACAATGCTCAGTTTCATTTGATAGTTTTGTTCGTTACATCTTCAATGCAGTTCAATGCAAAACAAACAACAAGATAATTCGAATATAAAACAATTATCTATAAACCAGCATTATACTGCATGTTAAACGTAAAACATTAACTGACATGCTTTTCATTTTTTCGTTTATTTCGTCTCCACCAATAAAACATATTTCTATGCTGTATTCCCGTATTATTGAATTTGGGATGCTTATTTCGTTACATGGCAACAGGAGCAAATAGCGTCGGTAAATCAGGGTACTATTTAGGTTAGGAATCATCGCTGTTATAATGAGTTTGTCTAATTTACTAGATACATACTGTGCCTATACCCCACACCCACCCTCTAGAATTAGTGTAGTGTGTCAAAGTTTGCATTGTAAATGTAGCGGCATCGAAATATTAGACTGAATTTTTGTGTTTCATTATTTGTATACGAAATATGGAAAGACATTGTGATATTTTTGAGTTTTTAAGTAAAAATATGATCAATAATATTCCTTTGTTTGTTTTTGTCTCACAATGAACCATCAAGGCAGATCGAAATGTCAGCAACATCGTGTATTGTATCAATTAGGTGCATATAATTTTATGACGTATCATATGATTGATATTATGATGCACACGTGAAATGTGCAGCGTGTTCTGGTGTGAAGGTTATGTTATCCAGCGATTGCTAAGGTTTGAAAAGGACGCAATGGCAAAATACAGTCTCCTTGATCGGGTGCCAGATGATATACCAACGACAATGTCAGTAATGTCATGACGTTAGCGGTCAGAGAAACTTGACGACGTCAGTGGTCACTGGGGCATTCAAAATGGACATGGCAATGTTGACCCCAGACGTTCTACACCACGAGAGTGTTCACTTTCTTAGCAAATTCGTTAAAAGAGTGAAGAATGTCTGCACAGATAATATTGATTTGGTCTACCACGTACACAGACGTGTAGATATAGTCAATATCACTTGTCAACACATACAGACTCGTATACGACAGTGTCGACAGGTTTAAGTACATAATACCACTACCAAAGAACAACGCATCACTCAGAATTTAATCTGATACATTGAATTGAACACGTCCATTAAAATGTCCATTCTGCGAACAGGATACCATAATGGCAGCATGATAGGACATGCTGACCCTTTTCGCGAACACCTGGTGTCATAAGCTGAAGTATTAATATACATTACATCGTTATCTTGCCTGTTATGTCAAATGGAATCAGATTCGAAAATCGAGACTGGTTGTTCTCTAGCTTTAACGTTCTTATACTTCATCAATAGCAACAGCCATACATGATGTTTAGTATACCGTTTGTGAATACACAACACATATACCATACCGTTTGTGAATACACAACACATATACCATACCGTTTGTGAATACACAACACATATACCATACCGTTTGTGAATACACAACACATATACCATACCGTTTGTGAATACACAACACATATGCCATACACCCCAATCTAACTCATATATACTCAACAGAAAAAGTCACGGACCACCCCAATTATCAATATTTTAGTATCTAATAGTTCATATTATTATGATGAACCATATTATACTTAAATATTGAATATTGGGGTGGTCCTTAACTTTTTCTGTTGAGTATACACGTATTTGCTCTAAATGAATTATTATAAAATGGTATTAAGCTGAAGAACAGCTGCTGAAATTAGACGAATCACGAACTGTTTTAAGTACGTAATTTCAATATACACTTACTCGCATCTATGAAAGTGTTTTATCATCGTCCCAAAGCTACTGACAAATTGTGTAATTGTAGAACTCTACATGTACGTATAATTGTAAATACGAAGCTCACAGCTCGACCCACATACCTGTCAACAACAGGTCAATAACCACATTTTCTTTTTGTCGATTCTTGCCAAATTCAGGAAGTCGAGTTATCCGGAGTGTCCAACTTCCGCTTTCATGTCAAAGTACATATGAGGATTATGCGATGAGCACGTTTGTTCGTCTTGTAAGAAATAGATCAAGCTAACCAAAATCGAGTTACCAAAGTTCGGCTTAATAAAGCTCGAGTTAACAAAGTTTTAATTAAGTTTCCTCGGCTTAATAACTTCCAGATAACGAAGATCAAGTCACAAAGTGCGAGTAAAAGACCATCGAGTTACGGTGTTCGAGTTACTAAAGCTCGAGTTACCATAATTCGATCTAATGCTGTTCGAGTTAAGAATATTTCACTATTTTACCATCCCACTAGCGCACTGCCTGGTGTTAGATGTATTTGAAACATTTTCAACATAACCCATCCCGCCATGAATTGCAAACTCTTTCACACTCAATCCTGCGAATATCGAATGTGTTTTATTGACCTCCTTCAAACACCAACTTCTATTCACAAAATTCCAATATAGTCACCAACCAGAATTGCACATAATAGGGGGAGATTCATCCCACGTTTCGCCCGTATCCTCCCCATATCGACCTAAAAGTGATATCGTTCAGATACCCATCCGTGCGTAATGTGCGTATCGCCTTCATCATTCATACACCAGAGGGGCAAACTCTTTTGTCCGGAAGCTACCTTTATACGTTTACACGCTCTCAGACTTTATATTGTAACGCCTTTTCCACGCTGATTTTATAACTGTACCTGCCCGTCACAGAACTGACAAAGTACCTCAATACGAATCATAATATTTTCAGTGCGGCGACACCTTGTATTGATAACCTATTTCAGATGTAGTACGTGACTATGTTGAACGAAATTTCCGAAAATGTGAAATGTGTTTTTTCATACACAATTTGATTGTTGTATACGATGATGTTGAAGTAAGTATACATGAAAACTGTGTATTCTAGCATGATCATCATCATCATCAGCAGCAGCAGCAACAGCAACAACAAACAGTACGTACAAGGTCTAAAGCACCATGACACATCGTTAAGTCGAAATCTTAAGACCAAATATATCAGGTTATCCGGAATTGCATGCAAGTGGGGATTCGATATTTGAAATGGTAAAGTATGCATTCATTGAGGTATAACAGTATAATGCAACCAGTAGCGGAATTAATGACAGTTCATTCCATACGTAATATTTATTTGTTCCAAGAAAAATAAATTCATTCGATATAAACGACTGCGATGTTCGATTTTATGAAGAATCGTGCGATATGTGCGAATATCACTGAGCTAAGTATGTTATATTGCAATGAGAGACAAACAGTCTTAACACCAATCACACAAGAAGGCATTGATAGTTTGAGAATCATAATTACTTTTATGCTGTATGGTAAACATTGATCAAAGCATTGTTAAAAACAGTTGTTTATGAAAAACTGATTGGTCATGATTTGTAGAACTCTGTGTACTGAACATACCTATACAATATGAAAATGTTATAACGAAATATGTTGATATTAAAACAATTGAATTCATGGAAATATGTTTTAGACAATCAAAGCGAAGTTATTTTTATCATTTTATCAATTTTTATATTTCTCCTTTGCAAAGTATAGCGTCATTTGATGAGGGTTCAAATGAAGGTTATCAGGGAAGAACAGAAGGCCAACATACTCCGTTCATTCAAACAAAGCTCGGACATGCGCGGAATCAATACAGTTGCTTTTGTAGTGCATTTAATATCCGTTAAAACTGTAGTTTTATATCATTGGGTCTATTGACCCGTGGACGATGAAATGTCACGGGCTCTAACCTTTCGCTAAATGTCACACATTGTTTTATTTTTTCATCTCTAAGGAAATTAGCACTTTGATGAGACACCGATCCTTTGATCGAACATGAATGCGATGCTGTTATCAACACGATATCGACTGTCAATAATGGAATGAGTAACAGGGGAGTGTGTCAATTTGTGGTCAGATTCTTTGTTACGGGGATGTAAGTGCATCTGACCATTTGAATGTGATCGTTGGTGAACTGCTAGAATGTAAAAGCCGGAAGCATTTCTTTCTGAATTTATAGTACGATTTCAAATTCGTTGTATTTTAATTTTTAATGATTTCTACCTAATGTGAACATAACGTACTTATATATGTTTTTATAGACAAATCAAAATTATCACTTGATGGGTGCTGTTTTTAAGTTAGCAGCATTAAACATCGTATAACAAAAATACGAATATAGTTTGTTAAGATCCGTACATACACGTACCTTTTTAGCAGCAAATAATTTCACTGTTTAAAAGGATAGAGATGTTATTCGTTAAATCATAATTAGAAAATACACTATTTTCTAAAATGATTAATGAGAATATAATTATTTAGTTGCAATGTACAACATATCATAATTAAAGGAAAACATGGATTAGTCTTACGAGATCAAGTCAAACGGTTCAATGACGTCGGAATGTCGCGCGATGTTAGCAGCATCGGGACAATCTTTTGATAACTTAAGACAAATATATCACAATTCGTTGAGTAACGTATCAACAAATGTTTGATAACTTATAAAATATGGATAAAATTGTCATTTATAAATAAACGAGGACAGTTATAAGATTATTTGCACATTACAGAGATCGTTGATGCTGTCCTCCCAAATATTGCTCTATTTGACGGCTAAATATGCTATGTTCAAAACATCAGCCCTGTTCCAGTTGAATATACTAACTATATTAAGCTACGTATTCTGTTTCTAAACTGTCGATACTAAAAATGTAAAAAGACTAATGTCTAATCGCACGGACGAGGGTGATTTATTTGCATGCATTCATATTAAACAAACACATTGATATTTGCATAATGGTGATTCTACAAATGCGCAACAACAATTTAGGCACTTTTGTTCTATCTGAAGCCAGTAATCCTTTTCTTTATTTTTAACTATCACACAAATGTCAGACTTAATCGTTTAATAAAAGGGCTTCATCTAATATTATTAAAACTACTGTTTTCAAACAAAGCAAACCCGTTCCTATGCATGTCTTTAAGGATCTACAAGCAGCGATTTAATGAAATGTGCATATTTTACTGATAAATAACACCTTAACTTTCTGTTAATGACAGTGATCTAAACGCCTTTCATCACCACCAAGTGATCTTTGAACCAAATGACACAGGCATGATTTCCACGGAAGGGTATTCCGCGGGTAAAAGGCAGTTTTAAGTCTGTACTAATCTACCAGTTCTTGTTCACAAGAGATCCCAGGAAGTGCGGCGTTGAATCCTGTATCCCCTTTTTAATTCTGGCAATTTTCTATCAATTCCCTAGTAATATCACATCAGAGATGAAATCTAAATTGCACACGGGACAAAGTGAAAACGAGGTTACCGGAAGCTGGGGGTTAAATGTCAAAAACCGAAGTGTGTATCTTTAAATCCCTAGCTATCGAGTTGCCGTTTCGCCGACTTTGAGTGACGTCTTCGATCATAATCTCACGATTTCTCGCGAGAGAAGTCGAGATGGTGTGACTGGTCATTTGCAGGGCGTTGCTCTGTGGCAAATATTGTTACAAGGAAAACCTTGTCTCACTGCCTAAATCACCATTGACAT